TTAACAAAAGTTTTTTGTTCATAACTTTTAAATGGTTAATAATATTACCTCCCCCCCTCCGGATTGTTATTAGGGGGGCCGAAACGCGTCGTTTGGTACCCCTCCCGACTTTTCCGGCCCTTTTTTAGGGGTTGTTACCCCCCCTAGAGAATTACCGTTTTTACGCAGTCTTCAACTCAGAAATCACTCACAAATTGCAAATTAACACAAAAATACTAAAGTACTAAAGTTTAGGTCAACTCCCACACATCCTAAATACATGAGAAAAAATTACTGAACACCGAGCTACCGAGTACCAAGCTCGGTGTGAAGGCCCCTAATCTAATTAAAAAAATGCAACCGTGACTGCCGATAATGCAGGTTTTGCCGTGTAAAGAGTAACATATACACAATTTTTCACTTCTCTCTAGTTATCGTTCCACTGTTGTTTCCGAAGATTAATTTTTGTAGAAATTATATGTTAAATATATACCGCTTGAAATAATATACAAAATTTGCAATAGACTGAAGCTATAACTAATTAATAGAGAGCGGTATGTATTGTTTTAATAAATTTAAAAGATGTGTACAAATTGCGATAGAACCCAAAAGACAACGCCCAGGAAGACTGGTGGTAGAAAATTGGAACACAAATAAGCAGCCGTGTTTATAAAATTATTCACTGTCATTGATGACATCATTTCGGTAACTCTTGCTATTTCTGAAATATTGTCATGGGTCTAGGATTCTAAATACTTCTGAAAGTTTCAGAAGTTTTAATAGTGAGGTTTAAACCTTAGAGAAATTGTAAAATTATGCAGTGATATCTTGCCTTGAAGTGCCTCAGTGAAAGTGTAACCGTTTGCATTATCAAATATTGTGATAGTTCTGCTTTAAGTTTAAAGTAGCAAACTATTGATTAATTTCTGATCCATGCCGTCGGCGCTGCCTTATACCAAAAACTATAAAAAATATACATGTCATGAATTTTTTAATTATTATACGTATGTATGTACATTTTAAAGTTAATATAAAATTGCTTGTTCGTATAAACAATGTCTCTGAATTTCGCGTATACCTTTTGTTTGAAAGCCATTAAATGGCTAGTTAAAACCAATTATTAAGTTTAATACATACATTCTTCATTACGTAATTGATATACGTACTTGCACATATAGGAGTTTGCGCAAATATACATATATATGCGCGTATAATGAAGATACAATATCATAAGTAGGTAACTAATTTTTACTTAAAAAAATTACTTTAATGCATTTATGTCTGCATATACATATACATATATAAAATGTGCATTTGCAACAAGTATTGATTTCATTTAGTAATGAAGTTAATATCATATGGGTCATCGCGGCGCATACCATATTCAACCATAGAAGAATGTATTAAAAAAAAAGCTTTTAAAAAGTTTTGTTGGCGCCACATATACATAATTCGGTAATTCTCTAGTATAGGGTAGCAACTTCTAAAAAAGGTCCGGAAATGTCGGGAGGGTTACCAATCGACGCGTTTCGGTCCCCGTATTAATAATCCGGAAGGTTAATATTATTAATCATTTAAAAGATATAAACAAAAAACTTTTGTTAAATTTCGTTGTTTTGTATGGGCAATTACCCCGACAAAAAGTCACTAAATCACCACTAATTTACCACTAGCAAAACATCTCCCGTTATTGTTTTATTCAAACTATAGTTGCGTTTGTTTACTCATTTCCAGTAAAATCCAGTAAAAGTTTTTACGAATTTTCATGTTTTGGCGTTTTCGTACGCAAAAACTTGCAAAGTAGGGGAAATAGAGAGAGCGAAAAATTTCAGTTGAAGTTGCAAGTTTTTACTGGATTTTACTGGATACATTTTTACTTGTAAGAATTTGCCAGTACGAAAAACAGCTGATCGCATGTTGCTGGATGATATTTAAACTAATAAGGAAACTGTTTGTGGCTTTTTATTGTGGAAATTCACAAAATAAACATATTTAAATATAAAATATATTGAATATAATATCTTATTTTCTGGCCAATTTTCGTCGTAAATTTTATTAATTTTGATGAGCTTCTTTGGCCTAGTTGGTGATTAGTGCAAGTAAAAACAATGTTTTTTCTTCACTGCTTTGCCCAACGTTTCGCTAAACTCCTTAGCATCCTCAGGGGCCAATCTTTATTTTAAATTAACAAACAAAAGAAGATACAAACAAAAACAATTAGGAACAAAAGTTACATTGAACATGTAGTTAATAAAGTCTCAATATTTGAATTTATCACGCAGCAAATGTAATGTAAGTGTATAAAACCCCACCCTCCGGAGGCTTATAGTTTTAATGAAAATTGAATTTTAAGTTGCAAAAAATGTCAACTTCAACCTCACTTTTTGCTTTGTAAACCAATTGTACTACAATGTCGGTGCTGCCACACAACAAAAGATGCCCAAAAAAAAGCACTGAAAACGAGAAACAATAAAAACGGGCATTGTAATTAACTTTTTTTTAATTAAATATCGATGTAATGATAAAAAAAAAGTGATTCAGTCTAAAATCGAGAGATTTTTTTGATTGATTTTTATGAAAATCGCGCGATTGTTTATTACAAATTTTCATTATTTATAGAAGTATTGATTTTTATGGAAAAAGCGCCGCAGGCGAAAATTTTTAATAAAAAATCGCGCGATTGTTTATTAAAAATTTTCATTGGCTGCATTTCTTTATTCATTCTGAATGTTTCGAATAAACTATTTTGTTTATTTATTCTTTAGAACGTTCCTGATGATATGTTGACGTATATTTTAAACGCATTCTGTTTATTCCGGCTGTGAAATGGGATTATCCGGAATGTATAAAGAAACGCAGCCATTATTTATCGAAGTATTGATTTTTATGGAAAAAGCGCCGCAGGCGAAATCATTTATCAAATTATCGATGTACGTTTTCTACATTTGTGTACTTTGAACTATAATAACACCAGTAAATATTATTTCCCCCCGAAAAAAATTATACCGTCATGATCAGGAGTAAGACCCCTATCATAATATTATTATTTTTAATAAGAGCAATGTACGTATTGTACACTTATACCCCTAATTATACGCACTTATTTGTGGTGTATTTTTTTTAACGTATGGTAGCATACATTTTGTGTTACTGTCAGCCATTGTTATTTCTGCTTGTTTGTGAAATGTGCAAACATTTGTGAAGACATTTATAAACGCGTTTTACTTAATTAATTAATTAATAATTGTATATTAAGGTATTACAAACGCATGCGAACCTTTTAAGGATAACATATTTGTGTAAATAAAAGTGATAGGTGTGGAGTTATAATAAAATGTGGTGATAGCAGGCGAGATATTTTAACAACAAATAACTTAAGTACTATTAGCAACAACATTGTGAAAGTGGTAAATATAGTTAAAGGAGACCTCTATTAGTATCCCCACCGAGTTTCATAAAAAAATTCACTATACTTTGCACGGAATAGCAATTGGTTCCGTAATGGAAATCTCAGCCGTTTTCTGCAAAAGGTGTTCAGCCCCCCTTCTTTGGCAACACAGAAAGGAGAATTCTACTTAGTGAGGGTTATAATCGCTAAATTCGGGCGAAGGCCGCCTACGCAGAAAGGTATTCTCTGCAAAAGGTGTTCAGCCCCTCTTCTTCGGCAACACAGAAAGGAGGATTCGGCTAAGTGAAAATTCCGAATTAAAAATCCGCTTTTATTATTCAAAATTCCTGTCTGGCAGCACCAAGTTTGATGTTATTTTGCTATCTTGTTCATCGTTTATACGAAAACTTTAGCAAAAAATTATATAAATAGGGTTGCTAGAAAAAAGGGGGATATTTTTGAAATCAGGGGGTCCTATTCTACCCCCCCTCATCCCCCCTTTTTTTAGAATTTGCCGTCCGCATACTAAAATTTTCCCTTTAAATGGTTAATAATATTAACCTTCCGCCCCCGGATTGTTAATACGGTAAACGCGTCGATTGGTACCCCTCTCGACATTTCCGGACCTCTTTTAGCAGTTGTTACCCTATACTAGAGAATTACCCATAATTCACTGTACCGTGCGCAGAAAAGTGGCCGCGATCGTATTGAAATATATATATTGACTGGACAACTAAACATCGTTAAACGCATTGGTTAATCCAAGTTTTTTCTGCTGCTGTACTTTCGTTGACTTATGTTATGATTAGTACACACATGCACATTTGCATTTACGTACATACATAGGTATGTAATTATCTATCCACATGCGTGTTTATACATAGTATATGGGCGTTGTTCATGTTCTAGCGATGTCAATTAATGTGTGCTTCAGTGCAAAAAGTATGTCAGATGTAAGTACTTATGTTTATGACGTAAAATTTACTAAGTACAACAATAATAACAGCAGTAGGAGTATTATAAAGTAGCCGTTAAAGTGCGATTAAACGTGGGGGGAGGAGGGGGAGATTACGATAACCGAGGTGACAAATTTTGACCATACCATTGGAAAGCTTGCCTCCTCCGCTTTTGCAATATACCCACTTTCAGGTTCGGGGCTTTCTAGTTTTAAAGATATTTAGTATTGAAAGTTATTTTTTTGATTTTTTTTAAATATTAATATCTTTAGAACTGCATAACCGATTAAAAAAAGTAATGGGACGCATGCACTCGAAGCTGTTCATGAACTTGGGCGCGTTTCTGAGGGTTTTGATTTGCACTGGTAATTGCCAATCTTTGTAAATTGCGGTTGCGTGAGCCAATGTTTCATATTTTGATCGGCGAATGGTTTACGAACACTGAAAGCACAATTTTGAAAAATTCAAACTATCTTTGAAGCAATCGAAAAATATTCATAAAAGAAATATACGCGCCAAATATTCTCATTTAGCCTTATCGTGATTTTCGTCCGAAAAAAAATCTCGCGAAATTTTTTCATCCGCCCGTTGTGAATACACGCAAACGAAAAGTGAGCCGGTTATAATGAAACTCATCATAAGGCTGATTTTGTATTTTTAACCAAAATTCCATCATACATTTTTAACCTAACTTAACCGATATAATTGTTTAAAATTGATACAATTTTGAACCAGGGCAACCATTTCAATTGTAATATTACAATCCATTCTAGAGCTATGTTCGGCATTAAGTAAGCCGCTTTGTTTAATACATAATAGGAGTGTACTCGTACGCCCAACTATCTACAGTTTTAGAAAACTTTTACTGGTTTTGCGTTCTCGTACCCAAAAAACTTGCAAAGTAGGGGAAATTGAGAGAGCAAAATGTGAAAGAGAGCTGCAAATTTCTGCTGGAAAAATTTTTCCCAGCTAAAAATTGCAAGTAAGAAAATCAGCTGATCACAAACACATGTTTGTAAATAAACAAAAGAAAATATGGCCTTTTTGAGTTATTAATTGCAAATTTTATTATTAATGCTAGTATACAACAAAAAGTGCGTAAATTTAATAAGCACAACGTTTGTTGAGTTTATTTTTCGTTAATTTGCTATTGATCTCCAGTTTGTTTACTTTAGTGTGTGCTGACTATGGTTGCCGTATAACATTTTTCGTTTGTACCATAATTTTCCTTTAAATATACCAAAATATATTTAAATGAAGCATACTGAAAAGTTTTTTTGCTGAAGTTTTCGGTTTTGGTAGGTTGATTGTTGAAATTTTTTTGGATCAATGATGGGTGTTTGGAGGAGATACTCTTGTTT